CCGAGTTTTGATCCTTTGGCTGCAACTGCGGTCCACGTATCGAGCACTGATATTTGGAGCAACACCAACTCAACTACATCAAAACCGGCCAATCCCCATGGAGACGCTCGATTAACAAGCGCACGCACAAGACACTCGTCAGTGGCATCACAGCATGTCTAAGCCAGCCATTCCCTATGTAGACGCAGGATTGCACCGCGAGACATACATCAGTCACATCACTGGCATCATAACACACCAAAACCAGCCACTCCCCATCTAGACGCTCGATTCACAAGCGCATGCACAAGACACACATCAGTGGCATCACAGCACACCCAAACCAGCCATTGCCCATGTAGGTGTGCCTCTGTTTAGCTATGTCCTATGTCTGTGTGTCTGTGCGTGTACCCAGCACCAAACAGTGTGAACGAGACTGGTTCGAATGAACGATACCAGGTCGTAGATCAGTAAGTGGGGTTGAACGATACCCTCGGGTGTGATTTGATGCTACAGAATTACCCATCCCTGTCAATTTGCACGTCTTGGCGGGTTTGGGCAGCAAATCACAACCAGCCATTCCCAATGTCAATGTAGCCTCTCGAGACGCACATCAGTGGCGTGACAGCACATCAAAACCAGCCATTCCCCATGTAGAAGCTCTCGATTCCACGTGGAGGCCTCCGATCGTTCGCAAATAGAAGTTATAGAAGTGACTGTTTGAAAGCGGTTTCCCGAGTGTGGACGCTCATCGATGCGTATTTCAACCCAGCGATGCGATTTAAAGCGACCATTTGTAGGACCATCAGTGTGCCGGTACTGCATGCGGCCATAGAACACATCACAGCAGTTCACGCAGCAGTTTGAATGCACCAACCAGAGATGCCAGCAATTGTCCTTGCAACGTAGACAGCGGCCACGAAGAACAAGAGCCGGAACAAAGATGCATGAGGACTTTCCTACATTGTTCGCGCGATGGTGACGTCATGTGATCGGCCTCTCGCGAGCGCCGTGTGTCATGCCAGCCCGTGGGAACACTTGACTGGAAACAGCTATAAGCAGCTCCTGCTTCAAGTTGCAGGAGTGGCTCATTTCTTGTGTGCTGCGGAGTAGTCAATCCGGTCCCCCGTAACTGAGCAAAGCACAGCAGACTAACTGCCATGATCCGCCTGGGCTGGAAGTAGCCTCGACAGCATCTCCGATAGTTCCCTTACATGGTGACGTCTTCTAACCTACCGTGCTCACGATTGATCACGCATCATGGCATAGTAATTGTAGACCGATCAAAGGACACAAGGGACTGGTACATCACTTGGTCATGTTCCCTTCAACTTACAGCGTCATACATCAACAGTTCGGGCCGGCGGCGGCTCAGCACAGCCCAGAAGGGGGCTGCCACGCTGAACGCGAGAGCGTTGATGGCAAACAGCAACATGTTCAAGATCTTGGCAACGTGCGTGACAGCTCCATTCTATTTTTCCTTATATGACAAGTTATGATCCCACGTGACCGGGTGGATCCCGGTGGGCATGTCACTCCTTTCATGCAGCCATGGAAGCAGCATCACAACTGAATCCATTGTGCTGGCAGCTTAGAGGTCCGCAGGAGGGTCTATCTTTTCACCGAAGAGCCGCTGGGCCTGCGATCACGATCATCGCTTCAACATGCCGTAGCCTCTCTCAAGTGATCTCAAGCGTGCTTTCTCAGCTCCTGGCGAATCGTGGCACGGTTTCCCCGCCTCTCAGACCCCACCTGGAGTGTCAACTCGTGTGAGACAGGCAGCTGAGGCACTGCCGAGGCATGGGCTCGGTGGCCGTCAGGAAGGTCAAGAACTCGGCAACAGGTGAAGCCACGTAGCCCAGTGCGACCAGAATGTGGACCCGCTGGACGCCTCGTGCCGCAGGCCAACCGAAATCCATGATACATCATATCAGAACTCGTGCAGTACAAGTCGGTACAAGGACCCGGCCGCAGGTACGACCAAGCAACCATCGCGCCATTGGACCTGAGTGAGGCAGGGTCTAAATCACAGTATGGCACCTTTGACCAGGAATTTTACGCCTCGTAAGGCGAGCGCTGCCTTCACGCTCAAAGTCCACATCCGCACCAACGCTTTCCAGTATCTGCCAAAGGTGCATGTGGGGGGTTGCTCGAAAACTGCCGGTTTGCTTTCGTGCTTTCGCGTCCTCGTCAATGCCCCAGTGGTGGGCTCGAACTTTTTGCTTCACTCTCTCTGCGAGCTCGTATTCGTCCAATTCCTCTCCGAGATCTAAAGGTAGCGCGGTTCACGCCTCTTCCAATCTGTTTCCGAAGAGCATAGCTGCCTGCGTCATAAACTCTGGTCCAGCCGCAGAATGTGCGAAGCTGGCATTAATGTGGTGGTACTCTTCGCCCACAGCCGAAGCTACCTCCAGCAAGGTCCCAAGTCGAGAGGGGTTCTGCCAGGGAGCATCAAGAATTAAGAAGCCATATTGAGAGCATGACGGCTGACACTGGGGCAGCACCTGCTCATCGCAGGATGCTGCTTCTAACACAGCTGCACGGCAGCTTTGACGAGCTGTGCTGAGCTGCTGTCTGTGTCCGGTTGGAGGGTGCCGAGCACACAGCGAAAGAGCAACATCACGAAATATCACGAAATGATGTGACTTTGCACGGTAGTCAGCCTCGAAACGGGCCCGCCGTGACTGCTGAATCACCTTCTCATTGCACACACATGGTCTGTGACCATCTCCTGATCTCATTCTTAGTCGCACCTGATTGCACTGGCTGCACCGGGGTCCTGAGCGGAGGCTTCCAGAGCCGAAAGCCGATGGTCTGAGCATTGCAATGCGCAGAGGCCGGCGCAAAAGTACGGCAGCTGATGCATCAGCGTATGGTCGGAATGTTCTCGTTCCCGAACGTCGTCCCTCGGCATTTACACAATCTCATGCCGCTAGTCATGCCTTTTGAGCTGGTGCAAAACTCCATCCACAGATGAGCTGCGGACCGGACTCTCGTTAAATTCAATTGTCGAACCTCGGCTTTGGCGCGATCCCAACAGATGGCGCTGAAAGAAAAGCTACGATCTTTCGCCGCCTGGTGGAGCTGCCACCTCTCGAAATCCTACACACACGCGGGTCGGGCTAAGAGTTCAAGCTAGCTTCATGCCGATGCCCTATTGAGACGAGCAGTTCGCCACGCATTCTACCATGACTTGCCCTGCCAGCATTGCAGGAGCCGCCTAAACATGTGTGCCAGCCTTCAGCCTTGCTTGTGCACTTCGCAGCCCTGCGTCCCCTTCGTTGCCCGAAGGACCACACAAAAGTTTACAAAAACACATGTCTTGGACTCTTGAACTGATCTTCTACTCGTGTTGAGCTAAAGCCTTAAACCCAGAATGAAGGCTTGTCGAAAGAAATCTTCAGCAGATTTCAGCAGGAGGCAAGGCAACACGACAGCACATTTCTGAAGCTCAACCTGACGAAGTCCTTGCGAGGCGTCGTCCTGGCAGTCGCCCAAAGTTGCGAGGCTCTGTGCCTCGCACCACATGCACACTGCGGCAGTGAGCAGTGCATGATGCAAGTCGAAACCTTGAGAGCCTGGCAGACTGCTCCCTCGGCAGCATCGGCACCCCCTCGGCCATGCATGGTCTCGTGTCGCGTGTCGGTAC